TGAAACATATATTTTATACCTACATAAATCACATTGTTCTGCGACTTTTCTAGACAAATATGAAAAAACTTTAAGTCCTAATATTATTAGTTAATCAATTTACTAAAATATTCAGCTCGCTGATAATAAAGTTTGGTAACTCGTTGATTCAATTTCGAAAGTCAGTAAAATTTTTTGTTTTGGGGGGAGAGCCAAGTATTATAGGTAGGTACTAACCCGTGATTTACGCATAAAACAATATTATTGTTAGTATTGTAATAGCAAGTATTACATAATACATATACAAGTACCAGTTATACAACTTACTCTATGATGAATTATTGAATTATAAATAATTATAGTCATATTGTGTCTATGAGATAGGCACATAAATAAAATATGCGATACAGTTAAGTTGGTAATCAGTAATCAGTACCTACCAAGTACCAGGCAGGCTACCTAGCTACTAACCACGATTTAAGATTTGAGTTTAGTTCGTTAATATGGTAATGGTTATTGCATGGTGGCATGACAAAATAACACTAAACTGAATTATAGAGAGTATTGTAATTTCTATACACGGCTATTATATTATTTCAATTCAATACAAAACGTATAAGGTATAACAGACTACAGACAGGAATAGTTATCTAGAATCTAACCACACTACAACATAATAGATTAAATTTATTGTCCATCTCTATGGTGTGATGTATTTACTATCTACTTGTATCAAAATCAAACACTGAAACACTAAAGAGTTACAGAACAACAGACCGCGCCACAGTAAGTTGTATTTGCAGCGTATAATGTCTAAAACTAATAATAAAATATATTATAGTTATCTTTTATGATTATAATTAAAAATCTATAATATTAATAATCTTACATAGTTACAATAGTTACATACTTACATGTTAGTATATCTATGTAGTCGCAACGGCATTGTGTCTTTAAATTTTTTTTCGTTTCTTCCACTGTGGCACTGGCAAAATGACAAAATATTTTGTGTATATTAATTTTGTAATATTAATTGTGCCCATGGGAGCATGAGCATTAGCATTTGGCGCGCTGCTCAGTCTGTTGGCCGTTATAGGTATTCACCAGTCACCGATCACTGATCAGTCTACAAATACGATCAATCAATAATGTTCAAGGGTTAATTATATTAATTAATATTCTGTGTTAGTGTGTTGATATTAATTAATATTCGCGATAATGATTAACGGAACGCCTAAACGGACAAGAAATCCTAGTCTAGTGCTAATWATCTATTTTTTTTKTATACTTTCAAGTAGGTATATGGTTAGGTAGTTCAACATCGTTTCGTAAATCAAGTATCAACATATTATAAGGAATTGGCAGTATTATTTTATTTCTTAACAATCAATACAAGTAATACGACTGCAAAGTATGGATTATAATGTGAGTAAAAAACAAAATGTAATTGATTAATTAATATAGTACAGGTAGGTTTAATCCTCTTAAATGATATTTTTTTAAATTTAATGACGACTTCATGAATAGAACAACACGAGTTTTTAGTGCATATTTTTCGAATACATATTTAAAGATTATTTTTTTGATGTTTTGATGGCATAGGTATTACAACCGGTTTTATAATTTTAGTGTTTATTTATGAATGATACAATTTTTGATTAAGTTGTTCCTACCTTATATGATTGAATACTTTACAAATCAAAAATATAGACAATGATTTGATAAGTGGCCATACCAAATTTATTATATTATAATACCGAAGTGTGTG